CATATCCTCGACCGTCACCTTCTACTTTTTACCTTCGGTCTCTTTTACTCGCTGTATGTCGCGAGTACTTCTGTGATTTTACTCCTTGACAACCACCTTCGTTTCCCTCCGTCGCTGCCGGTCTCTCTTTTTTACTGATTACTTATATGAACTCTTTTATCCTGGAGGAGAAACTATCTTTTCCCTCGCCCTTTCTATAAGAAACAAGAAAAAAAAAGACATTCAAGAGAATTTCTTGAAGGAAACGAATCGCGAATTGTGATAATTTTTGATAATTTTTTAACGATGCTCGAACAATACCATGAATCACATCGTTTCTACTTCTCACATTTTATGACGAAATACCAGGAGGAATTATGATACAATTAATCGAGTTATCTTAGAACACCTTTCGCCATGTAAAATCGATATAGTATTGAAGGAGATTGATTTTACCTCCTAGACGCAATCAAGCGCAATCTAGAGCAATCTAGAAAGTAAATCGATTTCGAGAATTGTGTATTTTAAGTAGTGTGCACTTTTGTTTTCATTTAACATACGATTTATATACGTTGCAAGTTTTGCTGTGAATAAACTGCGATAAACTGAAAGTTGGGCATCCTATAAAAGCAATAATAAATCGTTGAATTATTTTTATGTTAATTAACTTATATTTTAAAAATCTCTATTCTCAAGAGTTTTGGTTATATTTTAAATATGATTATATTAAATACGTTGTTATAATGCATAGATATGGGAAACATAAGATGCGTTTGTATTTTATGTTTGTATGCTATGCATACGAAGTTTCTCCTCCATGTTTCAATTAATCAAGGGGTACAATCGATTTTTTTAATACATATTTAGTATTCGCTTTATTTAAACAAATAACAACAAAAAAGAAAATGAACAAAAAAGAAAAGAAAAAATTTCTCTTCTCTCATGAGAAATCTTTTCTTTTTTATGAAGCATTTTGAAGCTATTTGTTAATAAGACTTTGCAAAAAGAAAAAAATACAAAAAGAAAGAAGGTGCGAATAGGTGAACAATGGCGGTCATTTTTTATATATAAATATATAAATAAATATATAAATATATATATATATATATATTTATGTAATATATGTATATATATATATATATATATTATATATATACACGTCATCACAAGTTAGCTTTTTCACCGGAACGAAGAGAAATTCTTCATTTAATTAATTCATTAATTAATAATTAGTGCAAATTTAAAACTCAAGAAAAGAAGACTCTTTTGATTTTCTTTTCATATCTTTTTATTCTTTTCTTTCTTTCTATTGTTGAAATAATAAAAAGGAAAATGATAAAAAAAAATAAAAAAATGTAACAAAAAAGATGGAATATGGACTTTATTTGAAACGCTTGTTGTAATAATTTTCTTTCTGAAGAAACAGAGGGTTCTCCTTTTTTGCTTTTTCATGAACAAGAAAAAGAGATTTCGATCTGTTTCCACTTATACTTAAAATATAAGATTATTATAATACATTTTATATTAATCCTATTTGTCTATTTTTATTATTATAACCTGCCTTTCCTTTAATATTGAAACAATTTTTAATTGTCATTTTCATTATTACTTATTCTTTACTTATATTATCGATTTGCGAATAATGTTATATAATATTTCCATTTATAATGTTATTGATATTATTTATAATTACGATGATTTAAACTATGGTTACAATGGACACGAATTCATATGAATACTTGTAAACATGAGCAACGTAAAAAATATAGATAATGAAATAAATTTTTATTTGTATAATTATACATATTGTAAACAGATTATTTACATTATATATATGAATTATTCTAAAAATATAAGATTATTATTTTAGGATATTTTTTCGTGTATATTTGCACAAACAGTGAAATAAGTAAATTCTTATGAATATTATATATATATGAATCGTTTGTCATATCTATATGAATTTAGAAAAATATGTATTTAAAAAGTTCTTATAAAAGACTTTACTGAAACAGTATATAATGTACATAATATTATTTCAATATCTATTATATTATATTATTTCAAAATCTATTAAGTTATATTAAAATAAAAAAATTTTCTGAAAATATTAAATTATTATCAAATTATTCGGCTGTTAATAGAATTAAAAAATATATATCTAAATATTAAAAAATCTAATTTTCGTACATTAAATTTATTAATTATTAATTTTCAAAATGTTATATATTGGATTATTATCAGATCATGAACATGGATAAAAAATTAAATTTGTTTGATCAATGGTATAATTGATATATATATATAATCATGATCATAATATTTCATTTGTTTAATTATTCACATAATTTTGCATAATTTATTGAAACAATTTTTGAAGAGTGATTCTAGTAATTCACGCGAATTCGTATACACTGTAACAATAGTTTCAATATTAATGCAATGACTTTTTTTAACTTAATATATAACTATGTTACTTAAGAAAAGAAAACTATACATCATATATGAACAATTTCTTTTTTAAGAAAAATTTTTTTTATACTTAACTATTAAATCAAGATATCGACGTAAATTTCTAGTTTTAATTTTAATAATTAAACAAATTGAAAATGGCAACGAACTAACGAATAAACTTTTTTTATAATTCCAACTGCATTTAAAATAAAGATGGTGTTATATATATAAAATTATTAGTAGTTTTTTAACATGTTTTATAATAATTAGTAATGTAATTTTATTTCGAAATATTTTATTAAATTGAAATAAACTATTACTTATCAGATGTATCAAGAAATTAAAATGAAATAAATGTTGATAATCATTAATTTGATTAAATTTATTTATTAAAATTATTTTATTATTAATTAAATAATGTCATAGATTATTGTTGTATTTGTGTTAAATTTATGGATAATTCATTGAATATAATATTCAATTTTTCTTCATATAATGCAACATTTTGTATTTTTAATTTTAATTCCATCAACATTTCTTTTAGCTGAAAATAAATAATGTAATAAATAAAGAAATATGAATAAATAATTAATATAAAAAAAATTACACAATAATAATCCATATATATATCCTTAATTGATTACATAATATCATTTTTTTAAATTAATATATTTATTAAAAGATTATATAGATTATATAATATAATTATAATATGTATCTACTTTAGAATGCAGATTTTCTATTTCCGGATATATTGTGTTAGTATTAGATGATTGCATAAATTTGTTAACAGAAAAAGTAATTAGTTTATGTTGTAAATTTTTTATATCGACTTTGTTTTTTTGATTAATTGCATGAAAACATAGACCAAAAGTTTGCAAACGTTTATTTAATTGGATTATAGTTTTGGTACTTTCTAATAGATATTTCTGCTCTTTTTCAATTTTAGCCATATTCCTAAAAGAAAAAAAAAAGATAAAAAACTGATAAAAATAATATAATATTTTAAAAATAATATTATAATTGATAATAATTAAAT